GGGTGGCAAGAACACCCAGCATGGCAGATAATAAGATAAAGTAACCTTCACTGAACACCTGTAAACCTAATCCAGGTAGGGCAATATTCACTGAACATCAATAAACCTTAGACCAGGTACAGCAATACTCACTGAACACCTGTAAACCAAAGGTATGGTACAGCAATACTCACTGAACACCTGTAAACCAAAGGTATGGTACAGCAATATTCAAGGACCACCTGTAATCCAAAACGAGGTACACCAATTTTCATTGAACACTTGTAAACCTAAATCAAGTACAGAAATACTCACTGAACATCTGTAAACCAAATGAAGATATAACAATATTCACTAAACACCTGTAAACCAAAGTGAGATACAGCAATATTCACTGAACACTTCTAAATCAAAATCAGGTTCAGCTATATTCACTAAACCCATATAAACTAAAATCAAGATTAATTAACATTCACCAAAGACTTGCAAACGAAATCCAGGTATAATAATAGTCCCTACACAGCTGCAAGCAAAAAACAGGTACAGGAATATTCACTGAACACCTGTGATCCAAATCCAAGTACCAGAATATTCATGAAACACCTGCAAACCAAATTCATTTACTGCAGTATTTACAAAACAGCTGCACATCTAAACCAGGTATTGTAATATTTTCTAAAAATTGTCAAACCAACACCAGCAAAAATCACTAAACACCAGTCAGTCAGAACTGGGTACATCAGAAGTCACTGAACACCTGCAAACCCACATTCCATGTGATGATATTCAGAAAACAGCAGCGCCTCCACAACATCTACAATACAAATAAAACAAGATAAAATAAGACACTTTATATTTTCCTACTGTGGCCTAATTGCAAGTTTTAAATGAACAAAACATTTCTAGTAATAAAACCAAGGAGTTTAAAAAAGAAAGACTCCTATTTGTCTAATTCAAGTTTTATTTAAGCAGTTGCAGTAAAGTTTGATTAAGTACTTGTTTACTATGATGCATGATTGACATGCCTGATGACGTGGACCACGTGGGTAGTAACCCGGAAATGGGGGGGCCTGTCATTATCTACCCCCTGCCTACCCCCGTCTCTCCCTTTCTCCTTCCCTATAACTGTGGCTCCAAGGCAGGATGTTTTACCTCGAACAACAAGCAGGGGGCAGTGAAGAGGAAGCAGAAGGAGAGCAGGACAGAGAACTGCCCCCACCACCACCACCACCACCCCTTGCTGGCACACACATGCGTGAAGGCGGCCTGCCTCTCTGTTCCCGGCAGGCCTTGCTCCTCTACAGGCTCGCGGCCCCGGCGTTTAAATTCCAGCCTAATTCCAGCTGGCGTGTCCCCGTTCCCTGACGACCCCATTCTCGTTTCCGCTCCCACCCTCTGCACCCCTCCATAGTCCCCCCCCCCAGCCCACGCACCGACCCCGAAACGCATGAGTGAGCGTTGGGGGGCGCGCGCGCTGGACAAAAACGACATTGCAGGAAAGCGTGGGGGCTCGCACAGATGCACGCCCGCAGCCCCCGGAGCGGAGATGGATTGCCTGGAAGGAGCGCGAGTGGGGAGGGGGGTGTGATAGGAGCACATGGGAGAGTTGGGGGGGGGGTGAGGTACAGATGGAGGGAGGGGAGGCGAACAGGGGAAAGGCACCTGCCGGGTTTACATTCCAACCAGGTGGGGTCCGGAGAAAAGGCCCATATCTCTCCACCCCCGCCCCCCTACCCCCACTCCTCCTGTACCCTGCCCCCGGACATTCCCCCAACATCCCACTATGCCCTTGGAAGGATGGCGCATGGGTGGCCTGCCGCGCCCTCACGTGTGCCGGGCCCCCATGTGCTCGCCACTTTCCGTAAGAAAATAACAAAAAAAGAAAAACAACAGCAGCAAAACACATACAATGACACAAAGAAGGCAGAAATTACAAGTCACCGCGGAGTAAACAGCATGCGACATTAACCTTCCGGCCGCCCAGCACCGAGACCCACAGGACAGGCGCCATGTAGCCCGTGGTTGCAGGTAGCGGGGAGAGGAATCGCTGCACTGGGTCACCTGACCAGAACGGGGACGCTGGAGGAACTGAAGGTTAATGGTTTGACTAAGAGGCTTGTTTATTGTTTAGGTGCTTTATTGGTCCCCGTTGCCCCCTTGTGAGTACTGACCAGCCCTTTGTGTCGCTCTGCCGAACACACAACACCATTTAACCTGCGGAAACACTTTTTGTGGACGGGAAAGTCAGATAACCTATTTGAGCAGGTATCCCCCTATTTGGGATGAAAGAGGCTCCCCTTCACCGCTGAGCGACAGTATCACGGAGAGCCCAGACTCAATATGGCTGTCTTACTTTGGCTTCGACACCCGGGGGGTGGCGACGGAGGAGGGCTGAATTTCCGACCCTCAGAGAGCAGAGGCGCCCGAGTGCCGTGACGTCGTGAGCGCCGCTTCAGCCCGGTGCCGCCGCGGCTGTTCTGCTTCAGTCTCCGCGGCGACGCCGGCTCCAGCGGAAAGAGCGCGGTGACGCCATTGATCCTCCAGCGTGCGGGTTCAGGCGGGTCGGCCCCGCCGGATGACTGACGCCGCGCCGTAGCGCCTGAGCGTGTTCTCCTGTAACCGGAGACACCCTGACGCTCAAATGAAAGCGTCTCACACGCAGACGCCGAGCGGTGATATAATGTCATGGGAGAGCAGAGATAACCGGGCCAAAGAAAAGTCAAGAGAAGAGAGAATAAAAAAGAAAATACATTCTTGTTTTGTGCCCTGCAAGAATATTTACAGTACTGACATAGCAAACCAGGAAAAGAGTAAAAAATAAAACAGCGGCTTGGAAGTGAAAGGCGTGATATCGTCTCGTAATAGGTTACTAAATGACCGGCTTTGTTCCCCGCTTCCTGTGTGTTGTTATGGTTTGCACAGTCACACGGATTAATGGGCAGGGGTGGGGGGAGGGGTCACCCTCCCCAGGTGCATCTCTCCGCAGGTCACCTGAGCGAGGGGGAGGCCAGGTGCAGGTGGGGGGGTTTGGGGTGGGGGGGGCCTGGCGGGGGCAGGGCTCGCCGAAGTTCTTCATGAGCTGTGCCACCCGGCCCCGGGCCACACCCCCCCCCTCGCTGTGGCCCCCCGCCCGTGAGGCGGCGGCCACCAGCCGGAAATCTCTACCTGTAGCGTAGCAGAGGGAGGGAGAGAGAGAGACAAAGAATATGTGAGTGCTCGGTGCAGACCCGGGCCCCGGGCCCCGGAGCCCAGACAAAACAACGAGCTCCAGACGACGGAAAAAAAACAAGCGATTGTGATCTCTGGCCCTCGTGCGGCGCGCAGGAGCCGAAGTGGCCGTCAGGGGTCTCTGTGCCGCGGTCGTGGACGGCACCGCGCTCCATGAAAAGCCCCTTTCACAGAGCAGGAAGGAGGTGCCGCTCTTCCTCCGCTGATATCGCTCCATACTCCTCCTCTGTGTTTTTTTTCCAGCCCTCCCTCCCTCCCTCTCTCGGCTTCTCTTCCTTCCTGGGCTGCAGACTGCCAAGCCGGAGGTCATTTGTGGAGGAAGTGGAGCAGGGACACAGCTGGGTGTAGCTGATGCATGCGTGCGTTTTGGCGTTGGGGGAGGTTGGTGTGGTGGTGGTGGTTGGGGGGGGGGGAGCACAGAGGGAGGA